GGACACAGGCATCCCCTCGGTTGTGGCAGCGGGGCAGACATCTGCCCCAGCCCAAGCAAACAGAGCTGTTTCCATCTCAGGAGCTCAAGCAGAGCAGAGGTGGCTTGTTGCAGTGTCCCAGAGGGACACGGCAGGGACCCTGTGAGCTTCAGTCTGCACCCGTGGAGCCCCATCCTCACGTTTGGCATGTCTGTCTGTCCATCCGCTCTGCTTTAACACCTTGGCTGCTGATCCCAGGGTGGGTCGCGGGTGCTTGTGGTTCCCAGGCTGTCTTGGGCAGAGGGGCTTGAACAGGATTCGTGCCAGAGTGGCTCCGTGGCTGCTCTCATTTCTGCTGCTGGCATATCAGAGCACACCCATCAGCGCTGCCCTGGCTGCTGCTCGCTGCAAGTTTCAGCTCTCTCAATAAATACAACTGGTAAATCTATTAATTTTACAGCTCTAATTGATGTATTGCTGTAATTACCTTTTATAACAAGGCAATTAAACCCTATTAAAGATTATTAGCTAATTAAAACTCCTCTATAGACACACACCAACCCCCTTATGTGCACAGATTGTTGGTGGGGGGAACTGGAAGCCCATCGCAGTCAGGGCCTTGCAGGTCAGCACGAGGCATGTCATGATGTGATGGGTTGGGATGCTGGACGGGGAGATCTGGGTCCCATCCCTGCTGCTACCACCATGTCCCTTTTCATCCTTGGGCATGTCACTTACTGCCAATGCTATAAGGGAGGGGGACTGCTGCGTATGCCAAACCCAGGGATTTTTGGCTGTCTGGGATCAGATGGGAAAAAACTTGGAGGCTGGGATCTTCTCCTCCTGGTAATAGGGTGGTTGGGGATGTAGGGTTAACAGTGCTATGTCTTCTTGGCCAGAAGAGAGGGTTGGAAAGGGAAAATCCCCACTTGGAGATGGGGTGTGTCTGCTTTGGAAAGGAAATAGCTGGAGAAACGGCCCTGTGCTGGGGCCGGGAGCGAGGGAAGTGCGTCGGTTGGGAAGAGCACTTGGAAGGTGTCTGTGGGATCGGGGTGGCTCAGTCCTGGGTTGCTCTGTGCCTGCAAAAGCAGGTGACAAAAGCTGTGCACGGCCTGGGAAGTGAACCCCAGGGGCCTTGGAAAGAGCCAAAAAAGAGCTGCAAAGCCATCTGAAAAGCAGCCCACAGGGCTCCCACCTGGGGCACTGCCTGGCCCGATGGTGGGAGCCAGCCCCTTCCCGCATCCCTCCGTGCTGGAGCAGCCGCATGGTGTGGTCGTCCCCAGAGCTGCAGCTCCTCTCGCCGCCCCCGACCCCTAGAGCAGCTGTGCTTCATCACTGCCCACGTGTGCGCATGTAAGTTTGCATTGTGGCATTTGCAGGCACTCAATGTTTCCAGGCCTTTCTGCAGGCCAAAGAGCTTTGGAGGTTGAAAGGGGTTTGAAATTCCAGGGATGTGACCGCTTTCTGCCTTCTGAGTCACGCTAAGGAAGATACAGCCCATGCTTGAGCCACAGCAGCCTCCCCGTCCGTCCGTCGCCCCTCGCCCATCCCCCTTGCTCTGCTCAGCGTCATGCACGCCGCTCCAGCTCCCTGAGCGCTCGTGGAAACCGCAGGAATTCACGTTTGTGGGCTGAAGCATCACGCTGTGCCCCAGCCTGTGCCGTGCCATGGCGGGGCTGGCCGCAGCAGGGAAGGGAGGTGCGGAGCAGAGCCCGTCCTCCTGGCTTGCCTGTTATGAAGCCTGGCTCATCTGGTTTAAATTAAACCCCTCCTGCCTTGCACAAGTGACAAGCGCCTCTTTGCCACTTGTGAGCCAGCCAGACCCGGCGACCGGCTCATGGCTGTGCCAGCGATGGGCTCCTCTGTCTCCCCACAGGCGTGCCGGGTCGCGATCCTCCTGCCCTGGTCCAACCTTGCTTGGGGCTGGTGGGGAAGATGGAGCAGCGCAGGGCTGTCTGCACCCAGGAGAAAGGGGGTTTGCACGGGTGCAGTGTGGGGGGCATCCCTGTCCTGTCCCAGAGGGGCTCTGCGTGGAGCAACTAGTGCAAAGGAGCCAGAGTCTGACCCTCCCCAGGGCCTCTTTACTCCAGGCTGCCAGCACCACCAAGGAGGATTGCAATAGCCCCGCGGGCTCCCCAGCCGGCAGACTCCCTCCAGGCCCCCCATGTCGTCCTGCTGCCCCCAGCCCAGGGGAAGCCCTCAAACTCAGTCCCCCGGGGCAACGAAGAATGGGAACAAGTGCCAGGGTCCCATGCATGGCAGGAGCTCTGTGGGGCGTGCAAGGAGCCAGGACGTGCTGGGGGCTGCCAGAGCAGGGACAGGCTGTGCCGATGACCCTTAACTGTCATTTTTAGCTATTGCCCAAGCTGGTCCCTCCCTGCCTTTGCCCTGGCCCTGGTTTCCCACTTTAAGGCAAGGAACCTTTAACCCTGCTGTGCTTGTCCCAGGGGATGCTTGGACCCTGGCGAACAGCGCCTGCTCGGGGAGCACCGGGAGGCAAAAGGCACAAAAGCGCTTTCCTTCCCACCCGGGGGGTTACTTTTTAAAACAAAACAAAGCTGCAGAGTAGAAGGAGGGCTGTTTGCGTCCCACAGTGCCCCGCGGCTTGGCAGCTGCTGCGTCAGAGCCGTTGGCCAGACCCCGCCTTCGGCAGCGGGGGTGCGCGGCCCCGGGCGCCCCGGGGGC